ACCATTACCACACAACATAAATCCAAAAAGACACGTTTCTTCGTTATACCGTGCTCGCTATTATTTTTGGGTAATTTCGTCTGGTACAAACTGGATCAAAGCACCGATGCTATCAACGTTGATATACCGCAAGGATCCACGGGTGCTTTAATTCGATGAAACGAAACGTGTCCTCGCGATCCGTGCTCGTGGTGTCGCGTCCGATCGAAGCGCGAGATGCTTATCGAGCTAAACGAAACAGACAGACTAAAACGGCGGCTCGGTGTAGACATCGCTTAATATATTTGCGTTTGAATTACGCCCCTGCCTACGGCGGCGAAGAAGCAAAAGGGGACACAGGGGCGAGCTGCGGGACCAACGTTCGCCCACGTGCCGCCACGTGGCCGAAAAACTAATTGAGATATGAAATTTATTTGGCACCGCGTTGTCAGCTTCGAATATTCCCGATGAAAATTTCGCAACGCGAGCGATAGCTTCGAAACTTTTGCCCCGCGTGCAGAATAATCGCCGGTTATCCGTTCATTACGTTCTCCGGTGCTTTTTCGGGATCTCGAAACGAGATCAGGTTAATCGCATTTCAGATTTTTTCTGACACGCCTCCTCCGTTCAAGCGTTTCACCAGCGAATAGCGAATTCGGATTTCGTCCCTCGCGAGAGCCGCGGCGAATCGATTTTTTGGAAATATTTCCGCCGGAAAGAAGGGCGGAAGGAGAATGGAAGGAGGGCAGGAGAAACGCAGAAACGAAGTTGGAACGGCAAATCCGTCGAAGCTGGTGTACAAAGACGCGAGGAGGAACCAGCATCGACGGAGAGAAGACGAAACCGGAATATTCCTCGAAGTTTGCACCCCCTCGCGAAAGCGCCATCGAGCAACGATAAATAACAATACGGGGTTGGTCGCGTTGCTCATAAAGCTCTGGCGATTCTTTGCTCCTCGACTAAGGGCGACGAAAACCTCGACGGATGAACCGTCCCCTGGTTAAACGATGAAAAATTCACGTCGCGATTAAAAGGAGAGCCCGACGGTGCTCGGTATCGACAACCCCTCGTTCTGCCAACTCGATCACCTTTCGCACCAGGTGACAAGACAGCGTAGCCATCGAAACGATCACGCGTCGCTGCGTGCATGTGCGAGTACGGTGTGGCAGACAGGGAAGAACGGGAGGGAAAAAGAGAGAAACGGAAGAGGCGGGTGATACCGGTGGCTATTTTGGCGCGCGAAATTAATCGTCGCCGCTCTGTCATTTCGATTTTGATCTTAACGGGCGAGAGCAGCGAGGCGTTATACGAGGCCGCTCGATATAGGTAGCAATCCGGCAGTCTGCAGTTAATTTAGAGGCCATTTCCTCTGTAAATAGCCAATAAAAGCACGATGCGCGCTCGCGCTGCGACTCGCTCGCGCCCACGGACGCGCGCGCGCGCCCCGCCGCTGCCAAGGGGTAGCTAGGTGCACGGCGACCAGAGGGGTCGATGTCGAGGAGGGACGGGAGCGAGACGGGACGCAATATTATAAAATTTAATGTCTTGGTTTACGGGCCGCGGAGCCGGCTATAACCTCGCCCCGATATTTACTGGGCAATCGCCAGGCTATATTGTACGCCGATCCAAACCCCTCTGCCACCCCCTCGCCCGTTTTTCGCCACGTTGTGCCACGTTGTTCCGCGTTGTTTCGCGCTCCACCTTTTCCGATCGGATTTTCGATTAGGCCTCCTCCCGGTCAACGCCGCTCTTTTCGCCCTGGAAATCCCACTTTTACATCTAGGTGTGGCTATACAGATCTAGGCTGACGCGAAGTTGCGCTTAAGTCGGATCGAGATGTCCCGAGGAGTTTCGAGCAGTCAGCGGCCAAGGCAAAAGTTGCCGCTCCGTTTGATCCTCGATGGACCGAGGTATTTAGGGAAACGCGACGACTTCTTGCAACATCCAAGTCCTTCCTGGCTTCGTCGTAATTTAATCACGTTAGTTCCATTCTCTCGCAAATTTCCAATTATTCGTACCTCGGAAATTTCGTCGCATTTGCTCGTGAATCGCTTGCGAAGTATTCGCTTATGAATTCTTCGATACCGAGGAAGTTTCCCGATCGAATATTCCAAAGCACGAATCAACCGCATCCTGGAGGCAAATTCGCAGCGATTCTCGGTAAATCAGTCGCCACTGGGTGGGATATAAACGAAGAAACGAACAAAGAGGCTTTCGTAATCCGCCTTAGAAAACTAACGTCAGGGTTGGATAAGAGATAGCGACAGCGAGGAGAAACAGGTAGCAACCGGTCTTCGAGTTTGGCCCTCGCTGCTTCTCCCTCGGGCCGTGGAAATTTTTTTACTCGATTGAACCTGTGTTATGGGGTAATTTCCAAAGGAAAGAGGCAAACGAAGTCGGGGTAACTCTGCGATTAACGATTCGCGAGGATCAAATGCACAGAGGATGCATCCTCGGTCTCGAGCCCGATGCTGATCCGAAACGATATTCGGCAGCCGGGGTGAGCAACTTTCGAAACCTACTCAGTCGATCAATCGCGGCCGAACGAACTTTCTTCCGCGCGCAGTGTCCGCGCGAGACGCGAGCGGATTCATTATCGGTCATTTAGTTGGTCAGCTGGCCGGCGCGAGGGAAAGCTGTGCGCCTCGCGGAGGGAAAAGTTGGCCGATGCCAGAGTCCCTTAATTTTTTATTATCCCGGTGTAACGCTGGTTTCGGGAGGCTGAGATGTTTACCGTGATATAATGGCCGGTGGAAAGGGTTTTTCCGCGTAACGCGCGCGCGCGTGATACGCGAGGTACGGACGATATACGTTGTAGGTAGGGCGCGCGGAAGGATCTATCTCTGCCGGATAGTCCGGGTGGCTGCTCTTTCTCCGTATCAGGATGGGCTGCTAGGTGGATGGGTGTGGGCCCGGCACATAGAAACGGCAAAACACAAGACACTACGAAACGACGGCGGAGGAGAAGGCGGGAGGAAGGGGGAAAGGGCAGCCGAGGTAGCGACGTCACCACGGAAATCAAGAGTAATGCCAACACGAAACTGCACTACCCCTCGCACACCCTTGCCAACCTCTCTCCTTTCTCGCTCCATTCGTTCCGTGCCTTTCTCCTTCCACCCCCGTCACACCCCGCGCTCCTCTCTATCTTTCCTTTCGCCTACTCCTTTTCCCGTCTTTCTCCCTTTCCCACCCCCTTTCTCTTACACCCTCTCTCTCTGTTTCCTTCCTCCTCTCCTTCTTCTGCCCACTACCGACACGCTGCTCTTCCCTTGCTCCAGCCACCCTCCGCCGCCTCCGCGTCTCGCCGCCCGATCTCGGCTACCCCCGGGGAATAACCCCCTTACCGTTGCTGCTATATGGAGCGGCAGCGGCGAATGGAAGAGCGACAGAAAGCGTACCGAGCGCTATATACGAGCGTGAGCCCGCGACTAAGGCTACGCTCGAATACGAGAATTCCGCTGCTTTCCGTTTTTCTTCTCCTTTTTCCCTTTTCCGCCTGCTCCCGTCCTCTTCCTCCGCTTCCCGCCGCGCGATCCGCGAGCTACGTGTATCGCGAGGAGTAACGCGCGCATCCTTGAAAGCCCGCTGACGGTGACTAGGTTCCGGGGTTCCGGCTAGATTTGTAAAAATAACGTCTCGTCTTCACTGCCAGAGGAAACCAGGACTCGGTGAGAGCACGGGTTTCGTGGGATATCGTTTCGCGGATCGGTCGATTTTCACGAGAGGCTACTTTATTATACCGACCTGGCTGTCGCCAGGCGAATCGGGGGATGAAAATTTCCTACCGTTCTGGGCTACGTTTCTACGCGTTCACGGAGGTAACGGATGATCGTGAGGTAGTCGAACTGACCTCGATGATGGCAGGTAGAGAAAACGAAAGTGAGCCGATTTCTCGCCGAAATCCCACTCGCGAAAATGCGCCCATTCGTATGATCGGCCGTATCCGTGCATCCCCTATAACGGCTGCCAGAAACGTCTTTTAATATACACTATATCTTCCAAGGGCACGGGGATTTCCCTCCGTTTCCCCGCCAGGGAAAATACACCAGTCTCTCGTCTTAAATCCGTCGTTACCTTCGCGTTAACCTCGTGTTTATCTCGATGACCGATCTCGCTACTGAAGACAGGCTGCTCGATTTTTATCCCATTTACCCCTATCTACCCCTGTTTTATCAATCGGTAATAATTAGAAAATGCCTCAAACTAATGCCAATAACGAAATACGAGATTTAATTAATTAATTAATTATTTTGGAGGAAATTTTTTCCATACGGAATGGCGACTTTTCCACGTTACGTTATTTTAAATTATATTTGTGTTAAATTATAGCGATATTTTAATTTCGAAAATATTCGAAAATATTCGGGAATATTCTTCGCGGAAAATGGAAATCGGTCGTGATCAACCGCTGGAAGTAAATTTTTTAGTTATTCCTGCCGACTCCGCGAATAGTCGCGATAGGATATGAAAAATATGGTACGATATGGATCGTATTTGTCGGAAAAATTAATAGGGTTGACGGATTATTTTTGACGCTGCTTAATTTGCCCAGAGGTAAACACGAATTGGAAGCTTTTGGGAGGAAGATGAACCAACAAACGCGCGAACCACAGGACGGATCCACTTCGGCTTATATCGCGGCAGATTAAATTAATTTTGTTCAATTAATTGGTAGTTAAGATGTTTAGCGTTAAGCGAAAGAGTCTAGTCTCTGGCTTTCACCCCTGTCTCTCGATTCTATGGCGGTCTACCTCTCTCCCCTTCGCGATCCTGTTCCTTCCATTCTTGCATCCCCTGTTCATCCTACCCTCTTGTGTCAACAAATTTCTAATCGACTGGCGAATTTCCGAAACCGTATTTGTACGTGTATGTTACCTGGAGCAATTGTTGTAACGAGAAGGGGTAGAAAATGTGAAAAGCGACAAGTAGAGTAATTTCGTTTTATTTAGAAAGCAGTAATTTTTGTACAAAATATTTTCAATTAATACTTTGCCGATCCACGATAAATACACGATCGAAAAATTTACGTCTACGAATTCCTACGGTAATTAAATACACGCGATATTTGTACCAATCGGTGAAAAATGATGAAATATCATTTTTACGGCATAAACTAAGATACTGACAGCTTTAAGAGAAGATGAGATACGAAATGATCACAGCCCGAATGAACCGTTTCGTATTATACGAAACTTAATACGAGATTATAAATATTAACGCGAAACGGGAAATATGATCCTACGGTCCTCTGGTAGATAAATCGAGAAATATATTGGTGAGACATTCCAGGAATCAACACCAGAAATGCCCTTTCTACCTTGATATCAATCGAAAAGTTCCCTATACTAGGTACGAAGGTATCTACTATACCGACATTCGATACGAGACTATCACGAGATATCGTTGTCATTGGTATTCAACTAAATTGTAAAAAATTATTCAGCTAAAAGCACAAAATTGCGAATTATACTAATTGATGTACGTATTGCCGTTCGCGTACAAGTAATTATCCTCCTGCTGGTCCCTGATCAACTTAGCCAACCTTATCAGAGCCTGCGAACAGAAGAAAATTTCTCGATGTACCGACTCATGGCAATTATCTACGACTCAACCGATATCAAATTTCTCTCGTTATTAAAACTTACCAGTTCGATATCTTCGTAAGAAGCTTTCGCGAAGCTTGCCCTGATAGCGTTGCAGGGTTTGCTAGGGTCCTTCATGAAGGCTCCTCCAGGCGCCATTATGACACCTTCCTTGATTCCACGCTGCATCAGCATCTTCCAAGTATCCTCGATACCTCGTACGTTTATCCACAGGAAGAAACCACCCCTTGGTATCTTGAAATCTGCCAACCCTGCAAGACGAACGTTTATCGTTATTCCACCCGCAGATCTAACTTCGAATAAACAAATTCGTTGATTGCAATTATTCAGCGATCCAGCAAAGAGATTTATCGTAAGCAAACATTTATAGCTAGTTCTATTACAATGTCCAAACGACCCTGTGACATAGACGAGAAGCAACGAAGACCTTCCAACATAATCACGTTATCGCGCGATAACGATTATCCACGATTTACCAATAGCAGTGTGCTCATACCGTTCAAGTGTTTCTCAGCCAGGCACACGGTCTCGTCCCTGCGTTGCTTGTAGAAACGCTTGATCCCCGTGAAATGTCTCATCATCCCGTCGTATCCCCATAGTTTCATCAGCCTGTAGAGTATCACCTATAAGCAACGGGCAATCGTGAAGGAACCGACCCTCTAATCGTTCGCGGCCGTCGACAACGGCTGATCTATGTTTACATTTGATAAAAGCCGACACGCGCCACGGCTGGTACACCATAGGCTCGCGCACGTCCGCCGATAACAGCGCGAAGCGTGCGAACGGATCCCGATATTTCTCGCTCGGTTTCATCATTCCGAAGGAATAATATTTACGTCTACACCACGACACTTGACCGTCGACCGTGTATCATCGCGAGACGTGCAGTCGCATGCGATTTATCGACCATTGCAACGCTATTGATGCGCGATTCTCGCTGCCGATCCCCCCGACGTCTCGGGCCAGGCTTGACATCGTCAAGAAACTTTGCATCAGCTGTCCGATTATCGCCGTTACGTAGCCTGTTGTCACGTCAGAGTTATCGATCGCTGGCGAAAAATCCAGCCGCGATCTTTTCCTCCGTTTTCAAGGAAAGTTCATCAGACTCGTGCAACCGGACGCTCCTTGGCCCCGCGTTACGAACGGTCCGTAAAAATCTCGGGGAAGAAAGATCGCGCTGAAAATTTGTTCAGAGATAACTCGGAGGTCAGGCTGATTAATCTCTCTGTCGGCGAACGGTCGCAGATGTTGCGTTCAGACGACCGTCAGACGACCGTCGATAGGAGCTTGGAAATTTTTCGGAATCGTCGCGAATTTCTGCTTCACACGCGATCCAAGGTGCGTAGCTTATCGAGAGTCGATAACATCGAAGTCGCGAGGGTAGCTTAGGGTTCGATGATGGAAGATTCGCGGATTTGGGGTCTTTTGGTTCGGGGGTTGTACCGACCGCGGGCTAAGTCGTTGAGGGGTGAAATTGGCCGCGAGTCAACGAGCCTGGTACCAACCTGGGATAACGTAGGGGCGTGAAGATGGCTGCTCTGCAAGTGCAGCTCTATGCTGGCTATCAGCGGAGCCGCTGCAGTGATGAAACCCAGTCTGAGGCCGCTGCTGAGCACTTTGGAGAAGGAGTCCAACCTGATCACTCGGCCTTCCGTGTCCAACGACAGGAAAGACTTTAGCTCTACCTGTGCACGCGAACGGAACACGTCACGGACTATTAAAAATTAGCAGCCGACCGGTAGCAGTCCCCGCGACTGCTATTAAAGGCAGTCGAACGTGGAATAACATTTGGTATGATTAATTTTGAAGCTAAATGATATTCCGCGTAATTGGTCGAAACGATGATTGATTTTCATTCGACGAATTTATGGTTTCGACGATTTCGCCGAATATTTCGGCAGAAATTGAAATGCTCTACGAATTTATACCGGTCAAAGTAATTAAAAAATTGTATAAACCACGCGATTCGATGTTCCCCCCTTTTTCCCCGATTTTTCTTGCCTCTGAACGATATCCGCGACGTTTCGGAACTCGCGAATAACAATGTTCCGTGATAATCTCGTGACGTCACTTATTTATCCGCGGATGTGCTGGAATTTATCGTTCTCGCGAATGAGAATCTCGATCGACTCGTGTCAGCTCGCGCGATCTTTTTATTGCCTTCGAGGCGAAGAAAAATTTGAAAGATAACGAGGAGAAAAGAAGAAAACAAAACGGAATGGAAACGAGAGGAGTGAAGAACGAGGGTGTTAAAGATGGAGGAAGAAGAGAAATGTTAATCACCTCGTCGTCGTAGTACAAGCAGAAATACGGGTCATCGTCCAGGATCAGGAAATTGTACTCGCATGCTATCCTGTAGATCTCCTTCCGCCTTTCCAACGGGATAACAGTGCCTGTGGGATTCAATCCGGTCGCGTTTATGTACATTATTTTTGGCATTTTCTTCCCAGACAGCTCCCTGTTCCTCAACGTTTCCCTGAGAATCTTTGGGTCTACGCCGTGCTCATCCTGAGGGATTGGGATCAGCTCCGCCTTGTGCGGCGAAACCTGTAATCGAAACACGATTTGCCTCGAATCTTCGCTGAGCTGTGCAAACGCGACGATACTCTAAATTACACCTCGATTATAGTTATTTTAGTTGCGTCATCTACTGATTATATCAATAACGCTATTCTTCGAGTAACGCGATCGTTCTTCTCAGGATCCTTGCATGTAGATCAACCTTTCTCTTTTCTCTCTTCCTTTTTGTAAAACGGAAAAATAGACGATTGAACCGAAATTTAAAAATTGCACTGTTCCGATACGACCACGAATGATTCCCGTCAATTTGATGAGGAAACTTTGCTTCAAACTCGAGTCGTAATTTGCCCAGCAAGTAGAAAAGGCACCGCGGCCAGGATAGAAAAGGGCGAGTGAAAAGGAGTGGCTGATTACTGACCACGACTTCCACGCCCGGATAAAACGGATCGTGCACCAGCAGCGGATCACCGGGTCCGATTATGGCCTCGAGAGTTTTGCTTAATCCGTCCTGAGCTCCGGAGACGATCACGATGTCACGGCTGTCCCACAAGGGAGGTGCGTGCAGCTTTCTCTGGTACTCCCTCAGGCTCTGAAACCAATTTAATATCCAATGTCGTTAAACATGTTAGAGCCAATTGCATTATCTCGAAGCCCGGGAAAAAAGGCGCGAAAGGATCGGCTTAACGCACGATCTTCTCGCGCGTTTCCGAGAAACGCGATCGAGCATGATTCGCCGATTCCTTTCCACGTTTCATCGAGTATTGCGATTTCGTCTAGATTTCATCTGGATTTGATCTGAATTTCATCCCGCTTGTACGAGAGCAATAAACATGTAACTAGTAAAATTATTAATTAAAGTTAGTACGAGTAATGATAATAAATCGTACTAAACGACACTTTCTCGACGCGAAACGGCGTTAATTCAAAATGAAAGAGTCGTGTATCTTCCGAGACCGGAAATCGGCAAAATTTTCCGACATTTTCATTCATCTTTCAATCTTCGTCACCGCGCCGATCTCGACGTCGCAACGCTTTCTTTTCGCGTGACGCGCCATTTTATTCCCACGAAGCTCGCGGCGGGATAACGTAATTTTGCGAAAAGAGAAATTCTTTTGGAAATTTTATAATTTAATGATTTCACCGGGTCGGAATTGCACCGCGTGTAGCTTTAATTCGCGAAAGGAATTGCAGCGATGCGATGGAATTTTCGAGTTACCCGAAGAAGCGGCGGGTAGCCCTGACTGGGGATATACTGCAAGGCTGCGCCCAATTCTTGATCGTCAAGGGTGAAAGACGATCCGTCCTTAAGTTTGATGGAGATCTCCGTGAAAGGGAAGGTTTCTTCGTTCGGCATACCCTCCGCCAGCGAGATCACGTGGTTCGGCGCCGAGTACGCTATTTTCGCTGAAAGATGCGCAAAATAACGACGTTAGGAAACCATTTCCCATATTTCCTCCCTTTTCCTCGTCTTTTTCTTTTGTCTTTTCTCACCGACGCTCGCGGATAAATTCGTTACGCTTTTATTACGACCGTTCTTTTCTCTCTCTCTCTCTCTCTCTTCCTTTCTCTCTCGCGCGCGCGCGTTCACCGATAAGTAGTGTTTACTTGGGTGAAGTCTTACTCAATTCTCTGGTGGTCGCCGATCTCCTACTTTTCGAGACCTCCGTCTTGAACGACGTGTAATCCATCTCGAAGCTATCTTTCGTCTTGTGCATCCTCGATCGTTCGATGACAGCCTTTCCACTGTGCCACCTCTGCCGAATTCGACCCGAATGCCCCGAGTGCCGCGATTTCGGTTATCCGGCTAATCGACAAACGAAGCGGAACGAGGGAAAACAGCAAGGGAAGCTACGAGAGAAAAATATGATTCCTGTTTTCCTCTCCTCTCTTTCCCCTCTATTTTTTTTTTTTTTTTTTTCTATTTTCCCCGCGAGAAATCCCGATATGCTTGTAAACACGGCCCGTGGCAGAGCGACAGAGAACAAGCGAGCGAGAAAAAAAATGAAAAGTCGATCGTTTAAAGACACATTCTTTTTCATGGAACACCGGCGCTACTGCCAACAACACTGTCAGCGCGCCTCGTTTACCCGGCTTTTATATTTAGCGATAGCTTTGGTTGCGTCAGATAGCATTAACATATCCAGAAAGGAATACACCGTTCGCGTATTTAGATACTAGTAACTGTCTCGACTATTCACCACTACTATCAACGCAATGACGGTTGCGGCAGAGGTATCTTTTAGGATGATGAAAACGCTTAGAGCGTCGCGAAACTTTTACAGTTCTATGGAAGATGTCGAAGAAAACAACGAGATTACCGAGATTCCCGATGTTTAGACGTATTTTTCGAGTTTCCTTCGGATTTTCCAGCCAACGATCCATCTCGCGCACGTGTTGACACATTTTAGGGTAACCGAGGATCGGCAAGATCGCCGAGTGACGATTCAGGGATCGTTGTTTCCTCGTACAAACGGTGGTCTTCGTTCCTAGGGTTCGGTCGAATTATTCGTAGGGACGCGAAGGGAATTTCGGACATTCCGAATATTTGTTTACAAAGAAAGTCAGATGAAAGGGGAATGCTCGGTGGGAAAATCGGATTTTCCGGTCATGCGTCGCGGTCATGCGGCTTCAGGGACTTCTGACGAAAGATTTGCGGTATCTGTTTATCATGATGTAACAAAGATCCGTGTTTTATGTGCGTGATCGAATGACGAGTGAAATGACAATGAAATTGACCCGGTTCTCCACGGCCGCGATTAATGTTCCTAGGTCAATTACCGATCCCGAAAGCAGCCACGCCAAAACTGCAATTATCGTTTCTGTAACACCATGATTGCAATCGAACTGTCCAAAAAAGGCCGGGCTGAAACTGTATTACTGCACGACAAACGGGAGAAAAAAAAAGAGAGAGAGAGACTAATCAAATCGAACTAGCCATTTGTTACTAAAACTCCAATATCGGGATAAAATCCAATATCGTCGTAAGTAAAATCGAACAAAACACCGAAGTTTCGCGTAAACCTTTTTCTATGTCTAACGACATAGTCGACCGATCATTTCGCGACGGGATTAATCGATCTGATCCTCGATTACCCGTCGAGTCCTCGAAGACTCGGGCCCGATCCTGCGAAGAAAGCTGAAAGAACGCATCGTGCCTCGACGGTTTCCCCTGGAACTCGTTAGACGAGAAGCATTGTTTGCCGGGAATCGGCTGCTCGTCGAATTCTATTTTCTCCGCGTCTCCCTTCTACGATCACGCGGAATTCGAAAAACAGCGATACATATGTGGAAAGCCGGGGAAACCTCGATAACTCACGGATGACGTCGGATCTGCGCCGATCCCTCGTCCGTTCGCCACCGATCGCGTTAATCAATGAGCATGAAGGATGACTCTGGCTCTCAACGAACCGTGACATTCGATTGTCGACACTTGTCGGGAAATGAAAGTGATAATTAATCGACCGCGATAAAATTCTTTTCTCTTTCCTCCACTCTAACGGTCCGCTTTGACGTACGCGTGCACATGTGTACCACGGTTCGTATCTTTCTCTCGAAGCGTGCAACTCCCACCAGAGAGTCGCGGCAGCACGCCAGTCTTCTTATTTTTCTCCTGCCGCTAATCCGATGCGCGAAATTTCGTAAGCACTCGTTTCGTTCTGATGCAAGAAACCGCGAGAGTTTGCTTCGATTTCGATGCGTACCCTTCGCGGAAGCAACCACGTAACAGAAAACGCGAGTTCTCTGTTACGAAGTTCTGGAAGCGGCTGCGAGTTCGAGCGAAGGGTGACTTCTTCCCGGTGACTTCGCAAACCTTTCGGGTTTGTGGCGAATTCGGGGGACGAAGTTGAGACGAAAGATGATTCGAGAAACGGGAGATACTCGCGTGGTAACTTCCAAGGGAAGTGGATGGCTCGCGCCGCCATTTTTGCACCTCTTTTTCACCCCTTTTCGCCGGAATTTTCTTTCCATAGCTAAACAATTATAATTAGCTAGGTTAAATAATTATAGCTCCGCGTTATTATGACGAAGTTGACATTGGGATTAAAATTGCTAATCGTTCAGATGACGATAAGTCGACGAATCGAAGAACAAGGATGATTTTTTCGGAGCAGTATTAGGAAAAGAAGCGATTACTTGGAGGCTTGGTCCACGGTGGATAGACGATAGCTTCGTGTCGAATGTAATTTTCGAAATTATTCGATACACGTGAATATCGACTCGCAGCACCGTCAGCGATTTCGCGTTCATAGACACGTGACCGTTGGATTATGCAAAAATCTTTGATAGCATCGCTTTATCTCCGTGGTCACGGATTCACCATACTTTCAGGCGGTTACGTCATACACGGGAAGAAAACAGTGTATCTAATGTGTCATTATAAAAAAGGAGAACAAGATTAGATGAATTCTAAGAAAATAGAACGAGCATTCTTATTTTCGCGAGTTTATCGCCTTTCGCCAGATGTCGCGATGCGCTAAACTACGTCGCGGTTCGCCCGATGCCCGAATTTTCCCGGTTCACGCGAAAATTCCAGGAAATTTCAAGAAAATTCGCAATCGCGCGATAAACCGGTTTCGCAATGTCGCTCCCTTACCGCTTTAGTTCCGAATTTTCTTCGACTAACGAATCTAGATGTGCGCGATAAACTGATAATAGCGAAACAGCTCGTTTCTAGCGACACATACTTTTCCGTACACGTGTGAAGCAACGGTTGCTATTATTTAACGTCGTCGCGATAACCGGGCCTCAAGATCGGACGCAATTGTGTGCATAGAAAAGCATAGTCGTTATCGATGATACATATTTGCCTTGGAAACTGATTATTCGATAACACTGCATTTTCGCGAGATACAGCTACTGCACGCCAATGTGTTTCGCGAAGGAAAGAATCTGACGTCAGTTAGATGGAGCACGTCCTTCCAAACTGACATTTGATATTGCATATCTGAGGCTCGCGTGGAAAAGTACACGGCCTAACGAGCGAACGGTTTCCCGAGTATCCTCGGGAAATGCGAGCGTGGAAAAGCGGTCTCGGCGACGAAAGGCTGATCCGCGTGGGAGAGACGAAAAATCACGAAACATCTGATCGGAGAGAAGAAGCCGGTGCTCGGGATTGGCCGGCGACGGAGATGGAGAAACGTACTTAACGAACGGAGAAGTTCATTAAAAGCCAAACGACATTAGCCGACCTAAAATCAACTCTCCGTCGATTCCGCTTACGCTTGCTTCCCACCTGAACCTTACTCTCTCTCTCTCTCTCTCTCTCTCTCTCTCTCTCTCTCTCTCTCTCTGCCTCGCTTCGGTCGGCTCCACAGGTGAGATGGAAAGAGGTGGCCGTCGACGGAGGAGTCGCGGATAGGCGAACAAGCGAGCGAGGTTGGACGAAGCCGAAGAGGGAACAACGACGATGACGACGACGACGACGAAGACGAAGATTCGCGATGGCGAAAGAAAGAGGGAGAAAGGTGGAGGACGAGCCTACGGAGGCTAGAAAAGGAGGCGGAGCAGGAACCAGGAGGAGAAATCGGGTCGCAGTTCTCCGGGCAAAGAGGTGAAAAAGAAAGAGACGATAGGTCCGCCGATAGGAAATAGATCCTCACGATTGGCAATAGAACGAGACGAGGATCGGGAGGCTGAGGCTGAGGCACGCGAAAGGGGGATGAAAAAAAGGCCCATCTCCTCACGGGAGATTGTCTTCCTTCGAGTGCTCGTAGACCCTCCGGTGCCGGCTGTCGTTAGTCTTAATAGAAACCACTCAGCGACTATGAATTGCCTACCGATTATGCTGCAAATTTCATTATTTTCCCGCTGGAAACGGTGTCGCCTCTCCCGTATTGGTCGATCGTCGGGGATTCATCGAGATGAGGCGCCCGTTGCTGGAAGCCGGGCTACCGACTGCCGGGAAATTTCCTTCCACGGGCGCTAGATTATTGGAAAGAATCGTGTCACCCGGTGAACTTTGCCTGATCCGCCATGGTACGAGCTTACGAGATAAATGCGTCTTTTAATCGTTCGGCGATAGGTTGTTCCCTGTTTCGTAACCGGTGCGGGAATTCGCGCCAATCACCCACGCGTTCACGACTCGACGGTCTCTACCGTTTCCCAGTCTTTATACCACGTTCGATTTATCTTTGACGAATTCTACTTCTCGTCCTCGCTGTGCCGCCATACCGTCGATACGGATCGTCACTGTGGAAACGTTGAACGGGTCTAAGAAATGGTGGCTGGCGCGACTACTGTGCGCATTGTTTAACCCTGGACAATGGCAGCGTCGAGGGTGTGAGACTCTAGTCGCTATTCTGCGGCTAAGAAAAATCCTAAACGATTGAATAGGGTGGAAAGTTTCGGCTCATTCAGCGGGCTCCGCGCTTGCGAGATAGTTTTGTATCTTATTCCAGGCGCAGACTGGGCTCTTCACGCCCCAACGTTACCTAATTGGGTGCACCCCGCGGTCGAGCCATTATACGGGGTGTCAAAATACCTCTCTCTACCTTTCGTAATCCTCCGTGCACCTATACATCTCCCATGCCCCTCTTCCTCCCCGTCGCTCCTCGTCGCCTGACCTTCCGTGCCACGTTGGGACAAAGAAGTATACGTGCTTGTATCTCAAAGCGACCGACCGAATGGAATGCACAATAGAATTGTCGCCACACGTCGTTTCGAGAAGTAAGAGACGTTTTCTTCGCCTTGTCTGCCACGCTATAAGCCGTCTCAGAAAAAGACCCTCTAACAGAAGTGCCTTCCCAAGTGTAACAACACGTGTTTACGTATGTTTCGCCATCCCTTCGCCACCCCTTCTTCGCCACCCCTCGCCACCCCTCGCCACCCCTCGCCACCCCTTCTCGCCCCGAGCCGCCCTTTCGCCACCCATCTTCGTTCCATCGCACACCCTTTGTCGCGCGTTCCACCACATTTTCGAGTTTCACCGTCGTCCTTCGATCCTGATCCTTCTTCTCGCGCTTCCACTCTCGCAGTCGTCTCGCTCTCGCGCGGCTTCTTCGCTTCCCGATTCTTGCAGGTACGAGTACCGTGTATACGTGGCAATC